GATTGGTGAGGCATGATTTCCCTTTACAAAAGCTGTGATTCTTCCCCAACAAATCATGTTCATCTATGTGTCTGTTCTTTACTATAGTTTCAACTAATTTGCCTGGTATGGAAGTTAGGCTTACTGGTCTGAAATTGCCAGGATCACCTTTGGAGCGCTTCTAAACAATTGGTGTCACATGAAGTATCCTCCAGTCACATGGTACAGAAGCTGATTTAAATTATAGTACTGCTAACAGTAGTATGTAATCTAACTATTGTGGAAGAGCTGTGGAGCCTTCCACAGCATGCTAGGTGGGCTGCCAGGCAGACTGATAGGGAGTAAGAGCCTGGAAGCCCTGGGTCTAGGAGCTTGGAACAGCACAGGTTCCCAGGGCTGATAAGGTGCACAGCTCCAGGGCAGCCCACCAGGCAGATTGGCCCCAGTCCGGAGACCCCAGGGCTTCCAGGGCATGTCACTCTATGGCAGCCCACCAGCCAGAGGTGGGACTCTCTTCCCTTTTAGAGAGAAATTCAGATATTTTGTTCTAAAGCTGAATGAACCATATTTTGAATTATCAAATTCCTCTGCAAAATGGTATTACTTTTATCTGCACATCTCTACTAATGAGTGACCACAAACAAAAAGCCTCCCCTTTTTCAAACCAGCATCCACTTTTGCAGTTTTACAGTATTCCCTTGCCACTATTTTTCATTAGTTTTGGTAGGAGAAGACATTCTGTCCTGCTTTGTTTGCTGATATCTAATGACATTGAGGTTTGAAAATGAATGTTCTAGCTTTAAGCAGTGGGGTGCTCTTTTTCTCAGATGGTCATTTACTCTCAAAATTGATTCATTTGCCAAAATAAAACCCCGAAATCATTTAAAGTGTATTAAGTTCTTGACCCAGGTAGAGAAATAAATACACTGTTTTCGGTTTCAGTTTCTCAAAGCTTGATGGTACAAGCCACATCTGATTAAACTCTGCTACAGCAGATAAAATATCCTATCTCTGGTGGCATTTTGCTGTGATAAATACTGTAAAGCTTGCTTTAAATTCTTTTGTCTTGACATTATTAACAAAAATCTGGAGATGTACCAGTAATGGTGTTTCAGCTGACACCTGCAATTGATCAGCAGTATAGTATCCTTACTCGTTGTATTGTTAAAGCATTCAACAAGTTGATAGGGCATACTGAAATAACCTGCATAAACTAGAAAATTCAGACAGGACATGGCCACACAGTACAAATACAAGTTTCCTCTGAAGATTTTATTGAATGTGTTCAGCATCATCAGATTAAGTCTTAAATCTCCCTGCATTGCTCTTCTTCTAGCCATCCATCCAGGTACCCATTACCAGTGTATCTGGGCACCTTTTCATCCCTTAGGGGGTTCTTTAACTACTACACAACACAGGGGAAGAGAGATATGGCAGAGATCATTACAGTGGTGATAGTAGTTAGGACAGGACTAAGCTACCCTGCTGCAGGATAAGTAAACCCCTTTGTTTTCAGTTTAAAACCTGAGATTTTTCAGTAAAAATCAGTTTACAAGAATTTCCCCGCTTTTCATCCTACTTTTGTATCATTCCAATATATAAAAAACTTGTTTTATTAGAAAAATGCACTATATTGCACTACAGGTGTGTATAAATATAATACATTAGACTGTGTGTATATGCAAAGCTACCTGTTGAAGTAAGGCTAAGTGTTAGTCTGGAAGATACACAAAATAAACAAACGGGCCTGCATGCAAGTTTTGGAGTGTGTGTGAACATACTGATCAATCTCACGCCCACCAATTACACATTTCAAGCTAAAAGAAAAGGAGTATTTGTGGCACCTTAGACTAACAAATTTATTTGAGCATAAGCTTTTCATCCGATGCTTACAGTGGAAAATAGTGGGGAGATTTATATACACAGAGAACATGAAACAATTGTGTTACCATACACACTGTAACAAGTGATCCGGTAAGGTGAGCTATTACCAGCCGGGTGGGGGTAGGGATGCGGGAAGAGAGAACCTCTTGTAGTAATAATCAAGGTGGGCCATTTCCAGCAGTTGGCAAGAACATGGGGGGAATAAACATGGGGGAATAGTTTTACTTTGTGTAATGACACATCCACTCCCAATCTTTATTCAAGCCTAATGTAATGGTGTCCAGTTTGCAAATTAATTCCAATTCAGCAGTCTCTCATTGGAATCTGGTTTTGAAGTTTTTTGTTAAAGAATGGCCACTTTTCAGTCTGTAATCAAGTGACCAAAGAGATCGAAGTGTTCTCCGACTAGTTTTTGAATGTTATAATTCTTGACATCTGATTTGTGTCCATTTATTCTTTTATGTAGAGACTGTCCAGTTTGGCCAATGTACATGGCAGAGGGGCATTGCTGGCATATCACATTGGTAGATGTGTAAGTGAATGAGCCTCTGATAGGGTGGCTGGTGTAATTAGGCCCTATGATGTCCCCTGAATAGATATGCGGACACATTTCAAGCTGTTAGCAGATCATAGTTTAAAGATTTGACACACTGAAATGGCAAGAAAATGAAAATCTGTATCTGAATATGTTTCAGAACACAAAGTACTTGAAAGGTTAAAAAAAACAAACCACAACCCAAAACAGGAAAAAAGGATGAAGTTGAATGTATGCACTGCAAATGGTATCGCACACTTATTAAAAATATGTATAGGCTAACAGGTCTAAATCTGCACCAGTAAACTGTTTATTCAAATGAATTTGAGGGAATTAAATATATTGTTAAACTCAGGTGGCATTGTGTTTTGAGTTCTCTAGCAAGCCTCACAGACTTCTGTTCAAAGCATTTATCTACTGAATACTTTTTTCCCCTGTCCTTTCATCCACCAAAATAAACACCCATCTTTACCCAGAAAATTTTTGCACCTTTACCTCTTTTAGTTGTAATAAACATTGATAAATTCCTGGGAAAAAATAAGTTCCTTAAGGATAAGGGAGGCGGCAGACCCCAAAAAGGTTTGAGTGAAGCTTGTAGAGTATGTAGTCTCAAAATAGCTTGATAGGAAACCGTCCACAGAGCAGGACCTGAAAGATCTGTGAAAGAAGGGAAAGGAACTGGAGCAAGAAGGAAGGGACTGAAGTCCACTGGCTGTGAAGGGAATCAGTGTCAGCAGTGTCTTACTTGCTTTTCTAATCCCCAAAGAAAGGGTTACAAAAAAGCATATGGGATAGTCTAATTATCAGTTCACTGAACTTGCAAATCAGACTGATGCCTAGCTAATAATTTCAGTAACCCAGGGATAAATTACAGGAACAATATTGGTTTATCTATATTAATGATCTAAAAGAAGTGAGCAATAATGTGGTAAACTCTACCAAGGACAAAAAATGTTAGGTTAATTTAATCTCAGGAAGCTTTGTAAGCAACTCCAGAAGGACTTGAAACTAGGTTAACAATGTTGTGTTGCCAGAAGAAATTCAACATAAAGGAATCCAAGGTACAGTAGAACCTCAGGAGTTACAAACAGAGTTACGACCTGACCAGCCACACACCTCCTTGGAACCAGAAGTACACAATCAGGCAGCAGAGACCCAAAAAAAGCAAATGTAAACTACTTTAAAAAAAATGACAAAGGAAACTGTTTCTGTGCTTGTTTCATTTAAATTAAGATGGCTAGAAGCAGCATTTTTTCTCCTGCATAGTAAAGTTTCAAAGCTGTATTTAGTCAACATTCAGTTGTAAACTTTTGAAAGAACCAGCATAACTGCTTTTTCAGAGTTACAAAAAATTTCTATTCCTGAGGTGTTCGTAACTCTGAGGTTCTACTGTAATGCAGAGTGGAGGAAGGAATTCAACTATTTATACATATGGATGGGTTCTGAAATACTTGTATCTTCACAGGAAAATCAGCTAGAAATCATTATGGCTAGCTCAATGAATGTCAATACACAGTGCAGGTCAGAAAAACATGTAAGATGCTAGTCTATATTAGAGTAAAACTTTAGTGATAATACCTTTAAGGTAATTTAAGTAAATATTTACTGAAGAATAAATCCTGAAATCATTACTTAGGCAACATTTTATCAACTTAAAGGGACTTCAAGATTTAGCCAATTTGCAATGGTGACCCTTAAACTTGTCAGTTGCCTTATGTTGCCGGCACCCAGTGCCGAGAGGCTGAACAACAGCTTAAGTTGGTTCGTTACCCGGTGTGCTACACCCAATAATCACAACAGGGTGGAGAAGCAGAAAAGTTTATTTGAAGCTTCAAAAAGGTACAGGGAGATTTGAATCTCAAATCCTGTACAACAGAGCAGGAAGTTACACAGGGCACAAACCCCTCCTTGGGATGCCAAGAGATAGTCCAAAGCCAGCCTGTTTTGGAGGGAAAACGTCCTGAGCTGCTGTACCTCTTTATTTAATGTTTTTACTGCTGACCCTAAATCACTAACCGAGTCCTCTAACTCTAAGGCCACTTTCTCAAGTACCATCTGCAGCCTTACAGTATAGCGGCCTATGCATGCCAGGGCTGGCCCGGTAAACAGTGGCGCTATTCCCAGTACAGAGCACCCTACCAGCTTCTCGGTTGTGAGGGGATCCTTCATATTGCCCTCCAATGCCTTAGTCAGTCGCCGCAGGGTCTTTTCTCGTGACTCAACAGAGGTGTCTCGGGCATTTCTAATCTTTCCTTTGGGCAGTGTGGCAGTTATGGAAAGATGAGGAACTCCATGAGCTATATAACAGCTACCTGTCCAGTTGGCTGGCAGCACCTTGTAAGCCTTTCGGCCACATACAAAATAGTGACCCTGTAGGGCCCAGTAAGGACTGTTTCTTAAGGGGATTCCTGGGATATTTAAGGCTGCTTTTCCAAACAGTTCATATGCCCCTAGGGGGGCATCCCATCCTCCTGATTGGGTACAAGTGGGGGCATTTCTAATTGTGCTGTTCAAATTACACTCGCCATAGGGACCACTACAAACCCACCATTGGCTTGCTACATTGGAGATATTAACTGGATGGCAAGTTACATTTCCAAACCCCTTTTTTGTGGTAAGATTATTTGTAAGTGTTTCCCTAAAAGGGGAGGAACCATTACACCCACACTGTTGGCCTCCCCTGTTGGTTTTTATCCAATACCCATCAGCCCACTGTGTAATAACACAGGAGCTCTTTCCCACAGGATGCCCATAGGGATCAGATTGGTTTTGGGTAAAACATAACACTCCCTCAGTGAGTACTGCAACTGAATACTCCTGGTCCTGATAGGTGGCTTCCTGTAAAGAGGTCTTGTTCCAGAACGGTGAGTCCGTTCTTTCCTGCTCTTTGGTGGTGGCTAATTCTGCTAGGATCAGGGGCAGCATGTCAAGGGGCATTCCCGTTTTGGAGGATAGTGGAGTTGGAGCACATACCCAGCAATCAGTCTGGTTTGTTAAATTAGCAACATGGTGCGCAAGCAAAACAAAGGAGTTATGCTCCCGATATGCACAGTTTGGAAATACCAATACAAAGAATAACAATGTTACCCAATTAGTTATTACCAGAGTCTTCCCAACCCAAGGTCTTCAATACCTGGGTGGGCCCATTTTAGCATTAAGGTGCCCGCTATTTGTGTCTTTTAAACAGTAGCTTTAGCCCGAGATCGTCACTAGATGAGGAGTCAGCAGGTTGGACGGTCCACTGTTCTGCTGACGAGGGGGCGGGTACTGCCTTCAGACGAGAGTGATGGATCCAGTTCTTGTGTCCCTCGATCTTTGCTGTATGGGAGATCAGCAGGACGGTATAGGGTCCTTTCCACTTTTCCTGGAGAGGCTCGTCTTTCCAGGTGCGAACAAGCACAGAGTCACCGGGCTGTAAGGAGTGAACGGGAGAGTCCAAGGGGAGAGGCTGGGAATCCTTGGTATACCTGTGAAGAGACAAGAGAACAGCAGACAGGGAACACATATACTGTGACAAAAAAACATTACCCAACTCCCATTCCCCTGACAGAACCGGGGTGCCATTCATGGGCCATGCCCTTCCAAACATAATTTCAAAGGGACTGAGCCCTAATCTACCCTTTGGGAGAACGCAGATACGGAGTAGGACGAGGGGCAAAGCCTCAGGCCATCGCAGTGAGGCTTCTTGGCACACTTTTGAGAGATGCCGTTTAAGGGTCTGATTGGTACGCTCCACTACACCACTGGCTTGCGGTCTCCAGGGCGTATGGAGTTTCCAGGGGATCTGTAAGGCATGTGAGATGCTTTGAATGATTTTTGACGTGAAGTGTGTCCCATTGTCAGATTCCATCCACAGGGGGAGTCCAAAGCGAGGAATGAGCTCCTTAACAAACTTGAGGGCCACTGTCCTGGCAGTGCAGTTACGGCATGGGAAGGCTTCTGGCCATCCGCTGAACCGATCCACTATAACAAGGAGATATTTGAACCCTTGGGTCCGGGGAAACTCAGTAAAGTCTATTTGCCACACTTGTCCGGGGCCCGGAGTGGGTTCTAGGGCAGCTGGTGGCACAGGATGTCCTGGTCGGGGGTTATTCTTTTGGCAGACTAAGCAGTCCGCTTGTACCTGGGCAGCCAGGGGTCGGAGTCCGGAAGTGATAAAGTATTTTCCCATTAGCTGGATAAGTGTTTCCCTGCCAGCATGAGTGGTTTGATGTAGTTTCTGCAGCACTGGCCGGATTAGGCCCTTTGGTAAGAGGACCTTCCCTTCTGGGGAATGGAGCCATCCCTCCTTTTCCCGGAGACAGAGTTTGTCAGTTAGCTGTCTCTCCTCCCCAGTGTACTGAGGGGTTGGAAGCTCCCCTACTGATGGGATAAGGGCATGTATATGGGCGTTCTCAGCCTGAGGGGATGGCAGGGTGGCAGCATGCTTAGCCTCTCTATCTGCCCGGGCGTTACCTCTGGCCACATCTTGATCCTCCCTTTGATGGGCTTTACAGTGTACCACCGCCACTTCCGAGGGGAGTTGTATGGCTTCTAGGAGCCGGAGGATTTGGGGCCCGTACTTGACTGGGGAGCCTTGGGCTGTCAGCATTCCCCTTTGCTTCCATAGGCCAGCATGAGCATGCAGCACACCAAAAGCATACTTTGAATCAGTAAAAATGTTGACCTGCTTTCCTTTTGACAGTTCAAGTGCACGGGTCAGGGCTATTAGTTCGGCAAGCTGGGCAGAGGTCCCAGCAGGCAAACCTTCAGCTTCCACAGTGTCATGGAGGGTCACAACAGCATAACCCGCCCTCCTTTGCCCATCTATTACAGTACTGCTACCATCAGTGTACCACTCATAATCTGCATTTGGGAGGGGTACATCCTTTAAATCCAGACGGCTGGAGTACTGGACATCTATGATCTCTAAACAGTCATGTTTCTGTTCCTCTGTTTCTGGCAAGAGAGTGGCTGGGTTAAGGGAGGGGCAAGGCTGTAAGGTGACTTCAGAGTTCTCTAACAGCTTAGCCTGGTACCGAGCAATCCGAGCCTGGGTGAGCCAAAGCCCTCCCTTTGCATCCAATAAGGCTCGGACCATATGGGGAGTATAGATTTGCATAACCCCTCCCAATGTTAGCTTCTCGGCTTCCTCAAGCAATAGGGCAGTAGCTGCGACCGCCCGTAAACATGCCGGCCAACCCTTTGCAACCTGATCCAATTGCTTAGAAAAATAAGCCACGGGACGTCTCCATGCTCCTAACAGCTGTGTAAGCACTCCTAGGACCACCCCCCTTCGTTCATGTACATACAACTGAAACGGCTTAGAGAGATCTGGCAGGCCCAGAGCCGGGGCTTCCATCAATTTTCCTTTCAGAATTTTAAATGCCCTGTCAGCCTCTGGGGTCCAATAGAAGGGGTCATGATCTACTCCTTTTACACAGTTGTACAGGGGTTTAGCCCACAGTCCAAACTCTGGGATCCATATCCTGCAAAAGCCTGCCATACCCAGAAATGCCCTGAGCCGCTTACAATTATTTGGAGAGGAACTTGACAGATAGATTCCTTTCTTTTTTTTTTCGCTTGAATGCTGACGCTCCCCTTGCCTTAGCGGTAACCTGATCCCTCTCCACCTCAGACAACAGGGTTCTCAGGAGGATATTACAGTCGTCTCAATCGGCTTGTGACTACTGAGGCACCCCTCAAAGACTGAAATAAACCTGCTTGAGTTCGTTGAGAATTCCCCAGCCTGTGTTTTAAAAGCTGCTAAGTCTATTGGATTGAATGGCACATGGGTGTAAACTTGCATAGTGGTAGCCTGACGTCCGTCTGCCCCTGGGCAAGCCACAACAGTCTCGGTAAGCAAAGGATAGAGTCCCACCGAGGGGACAATCTCTGTAACCCGAGGCATCCTACCCTTATACGGTGGGGGTGTGGGGGCCGAAGGGGACACCGGCTCTGCCATTACAGTGGGGGTGGGGGTCTGGAGACTAACATTAGCTACTACCGAACCAGTCGGAGTCAAATTACAACTTTGCAGAATTACAGCTCTTTTCTATTTCTTAAAGCCATAAACGCTTGTGCATACAAATATTCATTCCATTTACCCATTCACTGACAAAACAAAACTAATTGGAGGATCGTGTTGTAATTAATTGACCCTCCTGGTGGCCACCACTCCTGGTCCTCTAGTTGATATTGAGGCCAGTCAACTGTACAGAATCGTTTTAATTGGCTCTTAGTCATCGGATCCGCACCAAATACCTTCCAGTTTGCTAGAATGCACTCTAGGGGCGTACACCGTGCCCTAACCTCTGAGCTCTGTCCCTGTCCCATACCTACAGGGTAACTCTGGGCGTCCCCAGGTTCCAACAGAGCATATAATCCGGATTTTAAAAGGTTCCTACCTTATCCAAGGGACCGGTTCTTCACCGTGGCCTGCAGCTGCTCCTCCCCCATGTCTAAGGGACCGGTTCTTCACCGCCATCCACAACAGCTTCTCCACTATATGAGTGCGTTGCACCGTTGTGCCCTCTGGGGTCGATCAAATCGCGTCTCCTCCGAGGCCCCCGATGAACTCACCGGTGCGCGCTGGGCGTCGGTTCTCGCCGCAATCCTTGACCTCCAGGAGGGGTCCAGGCAAGGCTAAATTGCAGCCTCGAGCCCACCCAGGGACGCCAAAAGCTGTTGCCGGCACCCAGTGCCGAGAGGCTGAACAACAGCTTGAGTTGGTTCGTTACCCGGTGTGCTACACCCAATAATCACAACGGGGTGGAGAAGCAGAAAAGTTTATTTGAAGCTTCAAAAAGGTACAGGGAGATTTGAATCTCAAATCCTGTACAACAGAGCAGGAAGTTACACAGGCTTTTATACATCCTTTTTCCCAGCATACTTATCCAATAGCAAGCTGCTCCAAGTATCCATATAGCCAGCCAATCCAGTTCCCAGCTAGTTCCCTGATTCTCTGTATCATTTGTTAAACTCTACATAAAGCTGCTTTATTCAGCATTGTTCTTCCATATCTCCCCTGTTTGGCCTTGCTTAGTTTCAGGCAGTCTGACTCTGCAACATACTGTTGCAGATTCTCAGCATAACTGCTGTGTGTGCCTCCAGGCGGGGGGGCCAAGGACACTTGGGCCTAGCACGCAGAGCTGCTGCGAGTGCCTCCAGGCAGGGGGGGGGGGGGGCCCAAGGACACCGGGGCCTAGTGCGAGGGGGCTTCATCGACACTCGTGGTCTTCCATCCCCTCGAGTTACCTAGTGGCCATGCCCCAGTGTTCCCAACACTTAGATTACTGAAAATGCTGAAGTAACATTATTTTTAGTTCTCTTTTCTAAATTTGCTAATTGTGACTTAACTAGATAAGGGATCTGTATTTGCAGTGTTCCTTATCACATCCTAAGTAGCCATATAAAGGAACTCCAGGCTCCATATAAAAGATGTTCTGATCACTATTTCTAATTATGTTTAATATGGTGATCACTTAGAAAACTTGCAAATTTCACCTTTGAAGATTACCTCAAACTGAATTATTCCCAAGGATGTCAGTATAGGATGTATCCACCTATGGCAAAACTAGTTTTTAATGGTGACCACTGTACATTAACAACCACTTTTCAAGATGCTTTTTTAAAAAAAATCTTAATCTTTTTCAGTATGTACATTTGAAAAAAGGGCTAGTTGTCTGTCTTGGTGGAAAGAAGAAAATCAAAGATGCATTGTAGTAGTAAATACAGTACGGCCAACCCCGAAAAGGTTCACCCTTTCCACTGTGAATGAACCCTTCCCACCAGTCATGAGTGGGAAGGGCTTAAAAATGAGATTTTAAAAAATTGCAGGGTTTTTTTATTTGCCCTCTGTTCTTTGTACTTTTAGGATTCGTATTTTCAAGCTTTTTCTCCACAAGAATGAGGGCTAGAAAAGTACTTTAAAAAAGAGGAGTACTTGTGGCACCTTAGAGACTAACAAATTTATTAGAGCATAAGCTTTTGTGAGCTACAGCTCACTTCATCGGATGCATACAGTAGAAAATATAGTGGGGAGATTTTATATACACAGAACATGAAACAATGGGTTTTACCATACAGACTGTAACAAGAGTGATCAGGAAAGGCGAGCTATTACCAGCAGGAGAGCGGGGTGGGAGTTGAACCTTTTGTAGTGATAATCAAGTGGGCCATTTCCAGCAGTTTACAAGAACAGTAGGAGGGGAAATAAACTATTTCCCCTTGTTTATTTCCCCTCCTACTGTTAACTGCTGGAAATGGCCCACCTTGATTATCACTACTAAAGGTTCACCCCTTTAAGGGAATGTGATATATGCCAGCAATGCTCCTCTGCCATGTACCTTGGCCAAACCAGACAGTCTCTACACAAAAGAATAAATGGACACAAATCTGACATCAGGAATTATAACATTCAAAAACCAGTAGGAGAACACTTCAATCTCCCTGGTCACTCAATAACAGACCTAAGTGGCAATTCAACAAAACAAAAAAAAAACTTTCAAAAACAGACTCCAGTGTGAAACTACAGAACTGGAATTAATTTGCAAATTGGACACCACCAATTAGGCCTGAATAAAGACTGGGAGTGGTTGGGTCACTACTAATTTCCCCCTACTGTTACTCATACCTTCTTGTCAACTGTTTGAAATGGGCCACTCTCATTACCACTACAAAAAAGTGATTTTTCCCTCCCCCTTGGTATCCTACTGTTAATTGAATTGTCTCCTTAGACTGACCTCCCACTTGGTAAGGCAACTCCCATCTTTTAATGTGCTCTGTATATATCGGCTACTGTATTTTCCACTCCATGCACCTGATGAAGTGGGTTTTAGCCCACGAAAGCTTATGCCCAAATAAATTTGTTAGTCTCTAAGGTGCTACAATTGTTTTTGATAAACTACATTATTACTGAAAATAAAATTTTAAGGGCAATCAATCCTTGTGTTGCAAGGTATAATTCGATCACAAACTGGTGAGAAAAAAAATCCTCCTGTGCATTAAAGTAACCACTGTGGAAAAAGTCCCAAGCCTGTATTGGTGGGTCCCATGCTTCTGGGTGGTTTCAGTGGCCTCAAACTCCACTGGGCCCCAATGGGGCCTCCCTTTCTCAGTGTAGTGGCAAGAGTCACAGCCTATTGAGTTACTTTAATCACCAGCCAGTCTGGGAGATGGAAAGGGGGTATACCCCACAGTCTCTGTTGCTCCGTAGAGCTGAGTAGGCGCAGTTCGGCTTCCTGCCTGGACCGAGTCCTGCTTCCCTGCTCCAGGGGATCTCTGTAGAGTTTTGGGGGCGGGGAGGAGTGGGGGGGACCTGGGCCTGCCCTCTACTTCAGGTTCAGTCCAGGGACCCTAATGGTAGCAGCTGTTGGTGGCTTTCCCTTCACCACTGACACCGCTTTGATTCCCTGGGCCACTTCCCCTGTGGTCCCCTTTTCCTAGCTTCCCCCTCACCTCAGGATTCAGCAATGCTACCTCTCCTCCAGCTCCTTTCACCTCAGCAACCTGGAGGGCACTAGAAGGAGAGCTTTTAAACAGTATAAGTGAGACCTTGATTGGTTCCAGCTGTCTCCATTAGCCTAATGGCCTTAACTGGTTAAATGGTTAACTAGCGCCAGGTGTATCCAGGGAACAAGGGCCTGCTCATTCTGAAGGCTGATATACCTGCCTTCCCGCAGTCACTCATTCTTTTGGTCTGAATCTGTCACACCACATATGCTGCATTGCATAAACGTTTACCTCTTTTTCTATCCATGCTATGGAAATAGTGATTAATATTAATGAGGGGATACTTAGCTGCTATCCCAGGCACTCATTTCAGTATCATACACCAGACCTGCCCCTTTAGGTAGCTGGTGAGACACATCAATGTAATGTATTAGCCAAGTCTACATTGGTTGTCTCTCTAGGTAGTCAATTGGTTTTTGTATATTCCTTGCTCCCACCCTCCCATGTAATCTCTAGTAGTCATATCAAAAGATTAGTGTCTGTTGGTGCTTTGAGAGTTGAAGTCTCATTTTAGACTTAAAATTTACCTGTCAGTAGCAGACCATTATGTAGTCAAAACCTTTAATCCCATTAATGTTATTGCTTTATTAACCTTTTCTTCTGCTTAATTAGTCCTTTTCATATGCTGATTCAACTATTATTCTGTTTACCCTTTTAATCTTACATTAATACTTCTGCTCTGCTCCACCTAACTTGCTTCATTTTTTCAAAAGTCTAGTTTATTCCATGTAGTACACTAATCCTGAAAAGAAATAAAATTTGTTTTAAAAATAAAACCTTAATGTAATCTATCACTTTTCATACTACATTACTTTGGATATCAGAGTATTAAGTAACCTTATCTGGGGTTTATAATGCATAAAGACACGTTTTTGTGAATGTGTTCTCCAGAAGTGTCATAAAATTTTATGTTGACCAAAGAGATATTTCCTTCATTCCTAACAGATATATGATCTTAATTCAGTTTCATTTGCTGCACTGGACATGTATTAGAAATGAAAAACATCTCACTTGGTCAACATGTAAAATTTCATGGTAACTTTTTCATCCGGTCCTGATACTGAATACAAAGTTTATGGTTAAGATTAGCTGTCTTTTTTAAAAAAAAAAATTACTATGTTCAGCTAAGTTTTGTTTATAAATGAGAATTTTAAATGAATAGCTTGTGTAGTACTTAAGAAAAAAGAAATTTGGAGAGGATATTTTCATTATGCCGAGAAACATTATTGCAATCTGCTAGATGGGTGGATACTTGCTATAAGACTAGTTGGATATTTCACATTTGACAATTCATTCTTCAACAAATTTATATATTTGTGTTCACAGAACTGTCTGCTAGTTTTTTTTTTTTTTGGCAGGACGTATTTGTTACCTGAAATATTATTCACACAAAATAAAATTAAAAATTGCCAAATATTTTTGTGATTATTTCCTTGTCTGTATGTTGCAGTTTGAGTATTTGATAGTTAAAATTCAGGTTGTATTGATTGGTTTAAGTTGGATATACAAGGTATAGGGCTGGTTTTTTACCCAGGGGAGGCAAACAGTTGTTATATGTAATATTTGTATCTAAGCACTGAATCTACCAATCAAATGAAAATACCACAAATCAGAAAATAAAAAATGAGGAGTCCTTGTGGCACCTTAGACTAACAAATTTATTTGGGCATAAGCTTTTGTGGGCTAGAACCCACTTCATCAGATGTATGAAGTGAAAGATAAGAGAAGCAGGTATAAATACATAAAAGGATGTGGGTTGCTTTACCAAGTGTTAGGTCAGTCTAACAAGATAAATCAATTGACAGCAGGATACCAATGGAGGAGAAATAACTCCATTCATGGATTCACCAAGGGCAAGTCATGCCTAACTAATCTAATTGCCTTCTATGACGAGATAACTGGCTCTGTGGATGAGGGGAAAGTGGTGGACATGTTGTTCCTTGACTTTAGCAAAGCTTTTGACAAGGTCTCCCACAGTATTCTTGCCAGTAAGTTAAAGTAGTATGGGCTGGATGGACTATAAGATGGATAGAAAGCTGGCTAGTTTGTTGGGCTCAACGGGTAGTGATCAATGGCTCCATATCTAGTTGGCAGCCGGTATCAAGTGGAGTGGCCAAGGGTTAGTCCTCGGGCCGGTTTTGTTCAATATCTTCATAAATGATCTGGAGGATGGTGTGGATTGCACCCTCAGCAAGTTTGCAGATGACACTAAACTGGGAGGAGAGTAGATACACTGGAGGGTAGGGATAGGATACAGAGAGCCCTAGACAAATTAGAGGATTGGGCCAAAAGAAATCTGATGAGGTTCAAGAAGGACAAGTGCAGAGTCCTGCACTTAGGACGGAAGAACCCCATGCACCGCTACAGACTAGGGACCGAATGGCTCGGCAGCAGTTCTGCGGAAAAGGACCTAGAGGATACAGTGGACGAGAAGCTGGATATGAGTCAGCAGTGTGCCCTTGTTGCCAAGAAGGCCAATGGCATTTTGGGATGTATACGTAGGGTCATTGCCAGCAGATCGAGGGACGTGATCATTCCCCTCTATTCGACATTGGTGAGGCCTCATCTGGAGTACTGTGTCCAGTTTTGGGCCCCACACTACAAGAAGGATGTGGAAAAATTGGAAAGCGTCCAGCGGAGGGCAACAAAAATGATTAGGGGACTGGAACACATGACTTATGAGGAGAGGCTGAGGGAACTGGGATTGTTTAGTCTGCGGAAGAGAAGAATGAGGGGGGATTTGATAGCTGCTTTCAAATACCTGAA